CACTAGTAGTAGCAAAAGTGGTAGCATTAGTAGAAGTAGTAGTAGTAGCAGGAACAGTAGTAGTATTAGCAGCAATAGCTGTAGTAGCAGCAGTAGTACTAGCAATAGTAGTAGACGTAGTAGTAGTAGTAGTAGCAGTAGTAATAGCAGTATCATTAGTAGCTTTAGTACAACCAGCGGCTTTCATACATTAATCATTAATGGAGGTATGGGGCCCCAAAATTTATTTGGAACCCCTCCCTTCTCTCTCTGCCACTTCCCTCCTCTCTCCGACCCCTTCCATTCAATCCACCCCTCTAATCTGCCTCTACCCCCTCCGCCCACTCTCTCTGCCCCATCCACCCACCTCCCACTCCTATCCCTCTGTCTGTCCTGCTCCCACCCTTATGATTCGACCTACTCCTATCACTATGAAATGATTTGATACTACCTCTACGATATAACCTCCTTCTACCCTATGATATTACCACCCCTTCCCTAATCAGATCCCCTCTTACCCCTATAATATTTCCCCCTCCTCCCCTTATAAGATCTGCTCTTACTCCTGTGATAGCGCCTATTCCTCCCCCTTATAAATCGGCTCTTACTCCTTTGTAGTGTCCCCCTACCAATATGGTTAGATTTGCTTCCAAATCACTTTACTTTGGGGATTGACATGGACACAGACAGGAATTATTTAATGGAAATGGATATAATGTAGTCTTTATCCATTTAACGACATATTTATTATGCACTTCCCGGTGCTTCTTAAAACTCTTCTGTAGTGCTTATTTGGAAAGTGTGAGTTATATTGAATGCACTTGTTCTGTACAGAAACCCCAACTGACGGACCCAACGATTGACCAATAGTCGGACCAACCGTCGGACCAACAGACTACCGAACATGCTGACCAACTGACTGACCGACTGACTGACCAATAGATGGCCCCGTTTTTATTATCAAATTGACAACAAAAAATTTAAGGAGGGTTTTTTGTGCAAGTTTTTGAGAATCACCGCTGGGAGGAGAGGTGAATTTGACTGTCTTGTCTGACAAAGAAGGAAATTAATAACGCTATAAAAAATCGTTTGTTAAATTGAGGAAGTGAAATAGTTTTAGGCATAATATTGAGCCTTTGTGATTCGATACCGCATTCGATACAGGGCTGGCCCGTTGAATGCATTGGCTTAGCTTTGGGGCCCCGGGAAAACTTAGCTTTGGGGCCCCGGGAAAACTTAGCTTTGGGGCCCCGGGAAAACTTGGCTTTGGGGCCCCGGGAAAACTTAGCTTTGGGGCCCCGGGAAAACTTTGCTTTGGGGCCCCGGGAAAACTTAGCTTTGGGGTCCCGGGAAAACTTAGCTTTGGGGCCCCGGGAAAACTTAGCTTTGGGGCCACGGGTCTAGGTGTTAGGAAATGTGTTTACCACCTAGTTTTATTTTAACAAACAATGAACAATACAATTCTTTGCTAACATGTATTTGGAAAGCATGTAGGCCTGCAATTAGCCTACCGATGACATTTCTTTTCTAGCCTTGAGGTCAGTAAATCGTTTTATTGCACTTTCTAATATCCTTCATTGTCGCCAACATGCGATGCTTTTTTTAAAAAAAATTTTGGAAGATTATTGATGGCGCCCTAAGTACATGAGCCAGTCCCTCATTCGATACCACATTCAATACCTCACTGGATATCTCATTCGATACCACATTCGATACCTCAAACTCAAAGCGTTGGAGAGTCAGGAGCAAACCGTAGCCACGAACAGACTTTAGGAATATCTGGTAAGTTAGCATGAAGAAAGCAATATAATTAGTTTGCCATGCCGATATAATGTAACTGTGTGTACTAGGTGCATACATTAATAATTTGTCTTTCTATGTATCTCTCTCCCCAATGTCCCAATAGCTTTCTCATCTTTCTATCAATGTCATGTTTGTGTCTTTATACTTCTTTTTACGGTAGTTTGTACAATCTAAAAATCGTTATATGCATATTTCTATGTGTCTCTTGATGTATAATCCATTCAACCATCCATTCATATAATAAAATATATCCAATATGTATAGGCTTAAATTTAAATGAATTATTACATTAAAAAATGCTGATATTACAGTAGTGGCCAGTGTCAGAATAATGTATAAGCCAAGAAAGCTACAGCTTAGGACATAGCGCCTCGAAATCTGCTGGGTCCTACAACAAGATCCTTTTAAATAATAATATAGTTTTCCTTTCTTTTTTAAAGTTGTTGTTCTATTCTTCAGATACCTATGTGTTCTGTTCTTCTCTTACCTATTTGTTCTGTTCTTCTCTTACCTATTTATTCTGTTCTTATCTTACCTATTTGTTCTGTTCTTCTCTTACCTATTTGTTCTGTTCTTATCTTACCTATTTGTTCTCTTCTTATCTTACCTATTTTTTCTGTTCTTGTCTTACGTAATTGTTCTGTTCTTCTCTTACCTATTTGTTCTGTTCTTATCTTACCTATTTATTCTGTTCTTCTCTTACCTATTTGTTATGTTCTTCTCTTACCCATTTGTTATGTTCTTATCTTACCTATTTGTTCTGTTCTTATCTTACCTATTTGTTCTGTTCTTATCTTACCTATTTGTTCTGTTCTTATCTTACCTATTTGTTCTGTTCTTCTCTTACCTATTTGGTCTAGTCTTCTCTTACCTATTTAATATGTTCTTCTCTTACCTATTTGTTCTGTTCTTATCTTACCTATTTGTTCTCTTCTTATCTTACCTATTTTTTCTGTTCTTGTCTTACGTAATTGTTCTGTTCTTCTCTTACCTATTTGTTCTGTTCTTATCTTACCTATTTATTCTGTTCTTCTCTTACCTATTTGTTATGTTCTTCTCTTACCCATTTGTTATGTTCTTATCTTACCTATTTGTTCTGTTCTTATCTTACCTATTTGTTCTGTTCTTATCTTACCTATTTGTTCTGTTCTTATCTTACCTATTTGTTCTGTTCTTATCTTACCTATTTGTTCTGTTCTTCTCTTACCTATTTGGTCTGCTCTTCTCTTACCTATTTAATATGTTCTTCTCTTACCTATTTGTTCTGTTCTGCTCTTACCTAATTGTTCTTTTTTTTCTCTTACCTATTTGTTCACATATAAAATTAAAAGTTAAACTTCTATAATTTAATTTACCAGAAGCCAGCGTGAGTGATGAAATTGTGAGCAATATGGGCCGTTTGTCAATTTGTAAATCTAGTTTAGGATATCGTAAATGGAGTGAATCTCAAGATTAAGCCATCAACTCTCCAATGTTACCGCTCTTATGTTTTTCTGCGCTAGTCCATGTTTTTGACGCCATAATCTAGGTTGTTTTTGCATCTCAAACATTTATTTTAACATGTGTGTATGAGAATATATTTTGTGAATTAGTTAATGGTCTTCAAAAAGTTTGTACAAAATTATCAATTCTGTGCATGGATCTGTGTGATAGTCACATGACTTACTCACATGACTTGCATCACATGACTCGTCACGTCCAATCGTACCTTGTATAAAATGAATTCAGGACGGACTACTATTATATCTTGAATAGAAATTTTATGTCTAACAATGTTCAACATGTCAATGTTAAGAAGTTAAATCTAGATTGCCTTGTGTAGAATATAACGCCCTTGTTCCTCAGAAGTACGGAAACACTGGTTTAGTTCCTCTTCAAAGTCTACCATTTTCCCCCAGAAGTACAACAATACTAAGGAAATCCTTCTTCAAAGTCTACCTTGTTCCCTCAGAAGTACAGCAATACTAGGATAGGCCATCTTCAAAGTCTGCCCTTGTTCCCTTCAGAATTACAACAAGACAAGGACAGTCTCTTTTCAAAGTCTGCCCTTGTTTCCACAGAAGTACTGCAATACTGGGGAAGTCGACCTTTAAAGTCTACCCCTGTTCCTCCAGAAGTACAGCAAAACTAGGGTAGTCCATCTTTAAAGTCTACTCATATTCCACCAGAAGTACAGCAATACTAGGGTTTTCCTTTTTTAAAGTGTTACCCTTCTTCCCCCAGAAGAACATCAATACGAGGATAGAACATCTTTAAAGTTTACCCCTGTTCCCTCAGAAGTACATCAATACTGGGGTAGTCCATCTTTAAAGTCTGCCTTGTTCCCTTAGAAGTACATCAATACTGGGGTAGTCCCATTTCCGAGTCTACCTTGTTCATTCAGAAGTACACCAATACTGGGATAGTCCACCTTCAATATCTGCCCTTGCTTGTCTCTTGGTCTTGAGGCTCTTTGTTTTTCTTGCCTATGATACCTACCCAGGCTGAAAACCAAAACGAGGGATAACGTTCCTCCATCTGGTTTGATAACCCGGCGGGATCAGAACAGATACTACATCCTGATCTTAGCCAATAGGCAGAGAAGCCATAGGATTTGTACTGGGCTTATCCAATTTATTGAATAGGAGACAGAGAAAGGAATGAATTAGCAACTATACTTCTGTATATATGTCTAAATAACTATATGTTCTCACTTTCATAGCTATTACATGGTTTAAATTACTTACATTAAAATATAAAATTATGACCTTGTTGAAAAGCTTTCGAATTAAAAAATATGAAACCTTTTAATACTTGGAATCATTGCACTCATTATCAACACTATCCCATCGTTCTTGCAGCTTCCAATATGGCGATGATACGCATATCTTTGGTCATTGCTACCTTTGGAGTGTCCTTTTTCACCATGGACTCAGCCATGCAAAGCTCTAGATTGGATCGAGGGTTAAACTCACAACTAACAAGCGATGAGAAGCAAGTGTATATCGGAGAGAGTAAGCTAGAAAAAAATATGGATAATGAAGTAAAATCTCTTTCTAATGTCAAGGTCGATGAAGAGACCAAAGAAGAGCACGTGGAACGTTATGATGAACAGACTATAGAAGATGAGATCTTCTTGTCAGAAGTTAATGATATCCATATTGCCGATAATACAGATCTTTTTAGAGAAGAAATGAGCGATTCAGCGATTTGTAATCAAGACTCGAAAGGCCAGCACGACCCAAGCAAACAATTGCGTAGGTATTGCACACATTGCATTTGTGTATATGATTCCCAAGGGCGCATAACCGCAAATTGTTCAGATTCAAAGCTCCTTCGGCGTATTCCAAAAGGGCTTCCTCAAAATATTTCAAGAATCAAAATTTCCTTATGGCAAAATCTGACTCGATTTGACGTTAACCAGGTCCTCAGTTACCGTTCCTTGGAGTACGTCATGATATACAAAAATAAAAACTTGAATAAAGTGGGACAGTTTACAAAAGTTGAGCCTATAAGCATACCTTCAAATATCAAGCATCTTTACTTGTCACACAACGCCATTTCTGAAATTTACAAGAACAGTTTTGAGCATTTGACTAAACTAACACATTTGGAACTCAATTGCAATCAACTGAAGCATATCAAGAAAAGGATGTTCATAGGACTGTCCTCACTCGAAAGTTTGAACCTGGCCTCAAATAACATCACAAGTATCGAGCATAACTCGTTCGAAGATATGAACAATTTGTTGATCCTCGACTTAAGTCTGAACAAGTACCTTGTAGGACCGAATGGTAAACTTCCACTACACCTGTATACAGGAAGTACAAACAGTCTACATATACTTCATCTTCAAGGTATGTTCTCAGAAAAAGTAACCAGTTACCCCAACGATGAGTTGTACATGATGCGGAGTTTAAAACATTTGAGAATCGATGGCGTAGAGAACGCCACACTAGGATCTGAGTTGCAACCTTTGCCCCATTTAACAAAGCTTTTCATAGGCGGCACGGGAAGTTTTTGTAGCATTAAATTTATACATGAGACATTCTTTATAAACATGCCAAATATAAAGACGTTTGTCATCTCTAGATGCCCGTTAGTCCACATTAATCCAAGCGCGTATTTAAATCTAAGGAATTTGTCAAGTTTGTCAATTTCCTACATGAAATATGATCTCGTGATGGCATTTAAAGAACTCGAAGGATTACAAAATTCTTCACTGAGACATCTTCAACTGATACATCTCTATGATTCAAGGTACATCTACCGTTGGCTGACTGACATCCACGCGGGATTTCTAAGAAACATCCCTTTAATATCGTTGGATCTGTCCGAAAACAACATTGGCATCCTCAGCCAGTGCTTTGCTGATCTGTTACCCAAGACTTTGAGGCTGATAAGACTGAGCCGAAACACTCTAACAAAAATTACCCATGTTCTCAAGTCACTGAGATTTTTACCACAACTCTGTAACCTAGATGTCAGTGATCAGGATGCGTCCAATCTTTTTTTTAACGACACTGTTCTATGCAATTTTTCCAGCCACAATGAAGACCAAGACACCTCGCCTTTTCTTCGTTCAGATATCCATGTCGACTACCATACTCTCAAAGACGGCGGGGAAGTAATGAAAAATGCTTTAACTAGTAAACACTGTGACAATGGAGAAGACGATTTGGAACAAGAAGAGTGCAGTGTAACAATCAGAGATTTTCCCCCGAACCTCAAAATATTAAAAGCGAGATCTTTCTTAGATTCGAGGAATCATATTTTCAAATACCATTGGCCTAGCAATAACTCTCTGGAGGTCATTGATCTATCAGGTAGTTATTTCACAAGATGGGGAAACGGATGCATGCCAGAAAGCATTAAACATGCAGACCTTAGCAATAACTATTGCACCAATATCAATAAACATTTTTTCTCGATCAATAATTCAATAGAATGTCTTAGACTTTCGAATAATTTACTCGGTCCCGTATTTACTGACGATAAAACGGGGGAAGTTTTTGCTAATCTCAGGCACACAAAACTTCTTGATGTGTCTATGAACTCAGTTTACCAGCTTCCCGGTGACTTCTTCAAGGGGCTCCCCGAGCTTGAAACCTTAATTGTGTCAAATAATAAAATTCAAATTTTAAACGTAAGTTTTTTGCAGATGCCGAAGTTAAAGTTCATTGACTTTAGCAAGAACTCGATTAACTGGATAACCAGGAATTCACGTGCCGAACTTGACACCATAGCCATTGACCACCACGTCGCTTTAGACTTGACCTACAACCCTTTGCCTTGCTCGTGCGCCGGGCTAGAAATTCTCATTTGGTTGAACAACACCAATGTTCAGTTGTGGGATAAAGAATTTCTGACATGCATTCATGAGAGCGGTGAAACAGAGAGAAACATAATAAGCCTACAGAAAGAATTGGAAACTCTGCAAAGACAATGCACGTACCAAGCCTTGACACTTTTCATGTGTGTCTCGGCCATGCTCATCATATGCACCCTACTGACATCCTTGTTTATGTATCGATACCGTTGGAAGCTGAGATATCTATGGAGTATCGCTTTGGTTAAACTGTTTGGCGCTGAACTGAAAACTGAAGAAAACGGGTATCGATTCGACGCGTACATCCTTTACGCCGAGGAGACGCGGACCTTCGTCCTTCGAGACTGTGTCCGTGAGCTGGAGGAGAAGAGAGGTCACCGTCTTTGCATTGAAGAGAGGGACTTCATGCCCGGCACGTACATCGTGTCCAACATTGTAAGCGGCGTGCAGAACAGTTCCAAGACAGTTCCCATAGTGACGCCAGGATTTTACCAAGGGGATTATACCGAGTACGGCGTCAAGATGGCGCTGATGGAAGAGATCTTCGCCAGACGCTCGGTGCTGTACCTGTGCCTCTACGAGCCAACGGACAACGAGGATTTATCGCACGACTTTCTCACTGTCATGAAAAACAACAGGTACATAGAATTTCCTCCCCAGGACGAGGAGAGCGATGAAATCCAGCAAATATTTTGGAATCGGATGTCGTCTGTAATTGGAAAAAGCGAAGAGAGTTTTTCACCTGAGCAGGATACTTGTTCCAGCCCCCCAGAACTTTTGAGTGATGTCAGTAGCCAAGAAAGCTAAGTCAAAGTACCGATAGAGTGCCCAGTGCACTTTAAAATGTTATAATTGCTTCTAGAGACAGGCCAAAGCGGGATTGACAGTTTTAAAAGTCATGCATACATTATAAATGAACATCATTTAGGCCAAGCACATAACAATGGGAAACATCAATATGGAAATACGAAATTTCTAAAGGGACATTTCAGTTACACGTCTAATGTATAGGAATATCTTAGTTGATTATGATTGAGTAATGGTATAGCGCTTGTATCCATGCTATTTTAGCATGCTTACAGCGCTCTGATGTCCAACAATCTATGTAAAGAAAAAAAAAACTTTTCAATGTTTCTAAAATGACTTTTTATCATTTTCAGTTTCCCCCCAAAAAAGTGAGGCAAACATTTCAATAAATTAAGCGCAATATCAGTCCATTTGACTTCTTTCTGTGTCCATCCACACTGGGAACTTTCAATTAGGACTGGGTGAAAGAGCTCAGGTTCTGTAAGGATACCTGTTGTGCAACTATTCCTTCTGTTGTTGTGGGGAACACAGAAATGACAGTAGGCAATAAATCAATGTATTCTTTAACTGTCACTTCCCGATCATCGACATCAAATGAATTCTCTAGCCCACTTCATGCTACTGAGCACTTTATTGAAACTGTTTTCACATAATAAATCATCAAATGGGCATTAATATCAGCAACAGCACAGGATGTATAAATACACTTTCACATCTCATATTGATTAATTCAATGTAAACTATACATTCACTTTATTCAACACATATGTTCTCGTGCTCACACTAATGTCACAATTATGAGGTAAAATAATCACTAACGACCTCACAATATGGCCGCCATCACCCTTATCCATTATATCTCTACATTTGTGCCACAATTGATTTTACCCAATATAAAATTAACATGTACAATGTCATGCTGTTACAAGTTGTATGTTATGTGATATTTCAGGTACAGATGTATATTATTGGATATTTCAGATACAGATGTATGTTATTGGATATTTGAGTTGCATACATATATTTTAGGGATATCCAGTTACAGATGTATTTATGGGATATTTCATTTGCAGATGTATATCATGGGATATCTCAGATAAAGATGCATATTATACTACATACGAACATCTATTATTGGAATGTAAGACATTGTAGGCTAATTTAATTATGCTCATTCATGTTTGTGATAGTTGCAACCAAATTTTATCATTAATTATAATGCAATGACTAAGCAAACGTTATGGGCTATATTCATTTTACAGTCTATAAAGAAGGAGATGGAAGCAATCAAACGTTCCATTCGAAAACATTCCATTTGTCCTCAAGAATACCATTTGGTGACGCAATTTCTAGAATTACTGTACTAGAACGTTCGGTTTAAGTTCATATATAAAGTCCGCCAGGTTTCTTAGCAGATAAACTTACAGAGACATAGAGTCACAGAGCGTCAAAGATGTTTTTGTTATTGTATGTATAAATTAATATTTATATTTTTAGAGCTGTACCGTTTTCAACCACTTGCTGTGAGATGCTAGACATTTTGCTTCTGTGCTCACATTTGTTGTATAGAAATATATTTATATAATGAAAAATGTTTTTTTATCACTTACTTCTTTTTGTCTTGTTTTCTGATGAAGCTCTTAGCCGGAACGTCAATTGTTTGTCCTGTCAATGAATTCAAGTTTATCAAACCTTGTTCTTGTCAAGTGTTTGTCCTGTCAATGAATTCAAGTTTACCGAACCTTTTCTTAAATTTTCGTAAAACTAAGCTTCTAGCTATGTGTTGCCGCATTCATTTAGCAGTAGCTATTGGTTTGTAAAATCGCTCATAAAGTTAAGTTGTATGCATTTTTGTCTAGGTTAAAACCAACTATGCTTGCTCACATTAACGTATAAGTACCGAACAGCTGTTGAGTGACTGAACGCCCGAATTCTCTATTAATAGATTTCCGCAATTAAATGACAAACCCTACCTCGGCAAAGTCTAGCTGGAAGTACTTTTTTAAAAGGATTCAAATGTGACCTATAATCTCATGTTTTCTTGAATTTCTTTACTAGATGATATATATTATATATGATGAAAAGACTGAGCTGATCCCCATTGCCACTGCTCAGAAACAAAAATCTGTAAAAAAACATAACATCACTTACTCTCTCAGGTATGCAGATTGAGTTTGCTCATATAGTGTGAGACCTGGGTGTCTATTTAGACAGAACACTAACTATTGAAAAAAATCAAATTAACATGCTTAGGAAGGCGATTTTCCTAGAGCTGCGCAGGATTAGTCATATCTGACCTTTCTTAACGTTAGATACATCAAAGAGGCTGATGTCTGCATTTGTCTTATCACGCATGGACTACTGCAATGCTCTCATGTTGGGTCTCCAAGCTACGCTCCTGGATAAAATTCAAAGAGCACTGAATAATGCGGCTCGCATTGTTCTTGGCAAACGCAAATTCGACCATGCTAAAACACTTATGAGAGAGCTGCACTGGCTGCCGGTCCACGCTCGCATAGAGTACAAAATTGCAACTTTGCTCTACCGCTGCTTATATGACCTGGCGCCATCTTATCTCAAAGCACTCATGACGCCTTATGTACCCAATAGACAGCTCCGCTCATCTGATAGTGGCAAATATCGATAATAATAATAATAATAAGGGGTCTTATATAGCGCGGTACCCCAGCCTAGGGCTGGGCTCACCGCGCTGTACATAAACATTTTATCAAAAGAGACATAACCCTGACATTAAAGAAAAAAAAACATTTATGAAATAAATACCACGTGTTCGCCTTCAGACTTACGGAAAGCGCACTTTTGCATTTGCCGGCCCAAAAATTTGGAACGCCCTTCCAGTCGCTCTCAGAAACAGCCAGACACTGGAGTCCTTTAAAACCAATTATTTAAAAACACATCTATCTCGCAAACACCTTCTGGGGTGATGCTAGCTACCAGCTTTTGGGGATGAAGTGTGTTTTTCAAATAAACTTAAAATATATATATAGTCCGGCTGCTTTTCTAGCCGATAGAGAGAGATTTTGCTATATTTCCTAACATATACATAATTGAAATCTCAAGTTGGTGATCTGGAGTTAGATTCCAGCCAAAGCCCAGTCACGCAAAAACATCACCAGCACCCCGGGTAGATGAGACTCGTTAACCTTGGATGTCAACTCATCCAAGAGAAGGAAACCCTGAAATCAAACCCGGAGATGGAGTCCCGAAAGGCGAATAACATTGGTACAATGAAACATTCCGACAACTCCTGCGACGCCACTGGTGCCAAACTGTATAAACCAAATGATGTTCCCTTGGGTTGTCCAGTGGCGTGGTGAGAGGCGATTTGCTATTGGGAGCAAGCTTATAATCCATGAAGAATAATCCTAGGCCTTGTGGATTTCGTCCTCCGAAGCCCACACCATCGTCACATTGTTACGGGTGTATGCCAGCAAAAAAACAAAAAAAAAAAACAAAAAAAAAAAAAAAAAAAACAAAAAAAAAAAAAAACATAATTGCAAGACTGTCTTTATGTATGTGTGTAAATTAATATTTATTGTAATTTTTACAGAATTGTACCTTTTCACCTATAAGTTGTAAATTTGTTTCTGTATGTTTCAATTTTTGTTTAAAATATAAATTTAATAGTATAATTAAAATGAATATGTCACTAGCGTCGGTCTTGTTTTTTTTTTTTTTTATATATTGGTTTTCATTGCTTTGCTACGTATTGTTTACTTACGGGTTACCCTAACCCTAACCCTAACCCTAACCCGTTTACTTTACGAGTCAAATCTTGACACTGACACATTTACAATTTTAAAAAAAAACATATAACGGTACGTCACTTATGTCCTCTGCTTTCTGCGGACATGTTACATATAACTATGATATATCTTCTGGTAGCTGCGGCTGCATATAAAAGTGATAAAATATGAATAGAAAGACTTCTAAAATGTAAGTGATAAAATATTACTAATAGAGACATTTCTAAAATGTAAGTCATCAAAATATTACTAAGAGACACGCCTAGAATGTAAGGGATCAAATATTTCCTATTCTTCGTAACTGTGAAATTTGCCACAGGAGTCATTTAATTCTACGAATATTTGAGATCCTCTGAAACGCTATTTTCATAGTCCTGCAAAAATCAGCATTTACATGAAACAAATTGATACTGCCTGCTATTTCTTACACATAGTCTTCAACGCAACGCGTCAGCAGTGTCAGCCTGGCTCGACAACACCTACCTTCATATTACGGCTTTACATGTATGGCTTACTCGTCTTCACCATTTGGGACATCTTTGAAGATGACATTGATATTTAAAAGACAACGCTACACACAACTACCTCAGTCGAATTGACTCGCATAGGGATCCGAACTGTCGACTCCGTGGCCTGGCCGTTGGTCGGCTGCCCTGTAAACCGCAACGAGGCTTAAGCTCTGAACCCGGAGCCCTGTGTTAATGATTTTTTCGTGCCGATGCCCAGCTGATGAGGCAAGCCGTTGTTAAGATAGCCAGGGCAATAAAGCTCAAACTGGACACTACACGAGATTATAATCTATTTAATACAGAAAGGCCGTATCAGTGGCATTAATTTACAAGTAAAAGACACCAATAATTTTGTCTATAACAGAGGCACCTTTGGATGGGAACTGGCACAGGAGTTGTCATCAATGGATACACCTATGTAAATATGTTAAGCTGAAGATCTATGAGTGTACAATGGAAGATTACAGGAACCATGGTTCATGCACCATAGGCTGGAAAGAAAGTCTGAATGGTTCACTATTGTTAATTTCTCTAATTGATTGTGTTACATGTCCATAATGTTACAGTAATAGTATTTATTTCACAATCAAAACGACGGCAATTTTATTTTTAAAAAAGAACAACAGCAACACAAAATACTACAGTTGATTCGAGTAAGAATAACAACAACACCACAAAATACTAAAGTTGATTCGAGTAAGAATAACAACAACACCACAAAATACTACAGTTGATTCGAGTAAGAATAACAACAACACCACAAAATACTACAGTTGATTCGAGTAAGAATAATAACAACACCACAAAATACTAAAGTTGATTCGAGTAAGAATAACAACACCACCACAAAATACTACAGTTGATTCGAGTAAGAATAACAACAACACCACAAAATACTACAGTTGATTCGAGTAAGAATAACAACAACAAAAGAAAATACTACAGTTGATTCGAGTAAGAATAACAAACGATAACGTTTTTTAATCCAGTTATGGGAGACAGGGGAGATAACTGTTACCTTATGTAAATAAATCCATGAATGTATTTGCCCTTCCTGTTTGAAAAACTCTAGATATGGGCTGGGGTGATTGCAGCTCTAATCATGTCATGTCAATATTGGTTGTGCAGGCAATATGAGATAAGCTTATCAAACAAGTTCGCCAATAGTCATTACGTCATAATTTCTTAACATAGATTTTAATGATTTCATTGACATTGAAAATAAGCCACACAATAAACACATCCATTGGAAAACAAAAACTAATGATATCATTGATACATTGATGGATAACAAATTCCAGTAATCGATATTCTATCAACCATATTAAAATTAGCCTGCAACCTAATTTCTTTCATTTCAAGTTCTTTAAATGAACGCAACTGAAATCAATAAATAGGACTCTTAAGATATTGCGAATGAAAAAAATAATGATTCAGGAATATGAATGATTTATGTAATGACCAATTTACCCCCCCCCCCCCCATGTCAACGTACTCCAACGGGTTGACTTACTCACAAGTGTCAACTTACTCCCAAGGGTCAACTTACTCCCAAGTATCAACTTTTCTTTAAATGAACGCAACTGAAATCAATAAATAGGACTCTTAAGATATTGCGAATGAAAAAAATAATGATTCAGGAATATGAATGATTTATGTAATGACCAATTTACCCGCCCCCCCCCCATGTCAACGTACTCCAACGGGTTGACTTACTCACAAGTGTCAACTTACTCCCAAGGGTCAACTTACTCCCAAGTATCAACTTACTCCCAAGGGTCAACTTACTCCCAAGTATCAACTTACTCCCAAGCATCAAATTACTCCCAAGGGTCAACTTATTTCCAGAGGTCAAATGTGGATGTGTATATTTGTATGAGATTAATAATGTTTCTTTAAAAAAAAAACATACTCTCAAAGCTAATATAGGCGTGGCAGTGGGTTTAGAGAGTCTCCTGTAGGTTAAAGAATTTCCTCCGATAACAAATGAGAGAGGCGAGTCAAAAATTGGATGAATTGTTGAATGAAGATACTTATCAAAATCCGTTAATGTAAAATATATTTAGATGGTATATTGATTTTCTATTGGAAATTTAAGACCTTGTTTTTACAATTTTAAATGAAATAAATTTTAGTTCAGAGACTTTAAAATAGCTAGGGTAGGCCTATATTATATTGCAGGGAACATTTCTGCAAAATAAGTGATCTTAGAAACATAAACATTATTACATTGATACCTCATAAAAAAAAAAAAAATGTGATTAACCTTTTTCTAAATATATATTTCAAGGAGGTAGAATGTTGCGTTGATATCCTAATCATATGCGTCAAAATTGTACTTAGATGTTATGTTTTTGCAAAAGCAGGTAGAAAGTATCGTGAAATGTACATCATTATTGTATCGGTAAACCCAGGTCATTATTCCTGTGTTTTTATAATGTTCATGGACGAAATGCACGTTTCACAGAGGTAGTGATGTCATGTGGCGAATGACTTACGAAATGCCAGTTTCAAAAACGTAGTGATGTCATGGTGGCGAATGACATCTTCAATGCTTCCTCAGAAGCAGTATCAAGAACTTATCCAGCAAAGGGACATTCAACTCATTTTGGATGCAATAAATGGATACTTGATCCAGCTAGTCCATATCCGTGAAAAGTTAACTCTTAGAAAGGTAAACCCAAATCGCTGAATTACGTTTGTCACGTGATCATGAAGATAAGTGATACAAAATATATCATGACGTTTTAGACATCAAAGAAGCAGACAAGTATGACACACTAGTAGCTTCCCCTTCACGTACATGTGCTCAGTCCATGGACTTGCCCAAATGTTTTGTTTGTTTCCTGGAATCTGCTATTGAAACATTATTTGGGGGTTGTCAGGTTAGACATGATCTTGTGACGTCAAAACATGTTTGTGAAATCGTTTGGCCTTCTTTCTATGGTCTTTAAAAATGAAACGTTTCACATTGCTTAAAATAAGTTATCTGGCAGTTTCCTAGGCTTTTGTTTTGATGCGTACCAGGCGCGGTATTTTTATGCTAAAGACAATCTCTTAATTTTTGACATTTGTTTTTGAAATAAGACAGCCCCAACACCTAGTTTCTTGATTAGTAATGTGCGGACCGGCAACGTTAGACTGGTGGACCACCGCCAGTTTGTGGACCACCATTTGGAGAAAATAATGCTTTTCTGGATAATTTTTTATTGAAGCAATAATTACTTGAACAAGGCCTATTTATTTAAAAAAAACAATTTTCTAGAAAAAGTTTCCTAGAGCTTTCAAATGATTAAATATGTTCCCACGCAGATGCCATAAACTCCATTTAAATAAAAATGTTTGTGGAAATTACAGTTTTGATCTTTACCTTTAAGTGATTTATTCTCAAGTTTAGTTTTATACCTATTAGTGAGTTTTTCTCAAGTTAAGTTCTGTACCTTTTAGTAAGTTATTCTACAAAAAAGTGCATTCAAATTTTGTAATATTCGTCTACAGCAGGAGTCTTCAAAATATTTAAACATGAGACCGCATAACAGTCAACAAAGAATGTCGGGCAAGAATCGGTGTCCCTCAAACAAAATCATGAGCCGGAATATATTTTGAAAAAAATTTGAACGAATCTTAAGCAAACTGCACATATCTTATTTGAAAAGAAACACAAAAACCTCGAAACAATTTTAGTAACGAAAAATTAACATAAAGTTGACCGTATTTCAAATGGAAGAAAGGCTAATGAGATGATCCACATAAAGTTGACCGTATTCCAAATGGAAGTAACACTAATGAGATGATCCACATAAAGTTGACCGTATTCCAAATGGAAGTAACACTAATGAGATGATCAACATAAAATTGATCGTATTCCAAAGGGAAGTAAGGCTAATGAATTGATCAATATAACTTGATTGTATTCCAAAGGGAATAAGGCCAATGAGATAATCACATACAGATGATCGTATTACTAAGGGAAGTAATGCTAATTAGATTATTGACATCAATTTAATCATATTCTAAAGGGACGCAAGTCTAATGAGACGATCACATAAAGTTGATCGTATCACAAAGGGGAAGTAAGGCTAATGTGATGATTAACATAAAGTTGATCGTATCACAAAGGGGAAGTAAGGCTAATGTGATGGTTAACATAAAGTTGATCGTATTCCCACGGGAAGAAAGGCTCATGAGATGATCAACCTCTGGTTCCATATTTGATGATGCTACCCAGGTAACTTTGCGTCGGTCTTGCGGGCCGTGTTAAGGACCTTTGGCGTACCGTGTGTGGCCCGCGGGCCGTATTTTGATTCCCGTGTTGTCCACGAGGCTCGATTGATAACTAATAAGAAAAAAATCTGTTATAATATTTCCATGACGAGGGTAGAAGGATGATTGATCATACTTTTTAAATACGTTACATTAATTGGGGGTGAAAATAATGTAATATGACATTTAAAAAAAAAATAAAATCCAAAAACAATTCTATTGATAGAATTTTTCAAAATTTACCCAGATTATTAAAAACTTAAATGTCTCAACTTGAATTAGATATGTATGCTCCTTTAAGCTTTGAATGGTTAACTTTACATTTTTTTTTCAATATTTCAAGGTTATGTTTTTAGTTCTAGTCGTATACCAGTTGTTTCACACCAACAGTTGTTTAATGACGACATTCGGTTAATAGAAACAGTCATTTAATTTCAATAGTTGATTAATATTGACATTCAGTTAATAGAATAACAGTAGTTGTTTAATAAAAATTCATGCCGTTCAACTTTTGTAGTTACAATGTTTTGTTTGGGTTTGGGGGGGGGGGGGGTTTTTTGCAATTTTTTTTTTTTTGGGTTTGGGGGGGGGGGGGGTTTCTAGCAATGTTATATTTTTCAGGGGTTGGTTTTGATAAATGTTTTATAACATAATATACAGGGCGAAATATTGGGCTAAATGTCCTATTTTATTGTTATATAATATAAAAGTCTATAAAGTCTTCCGATGAAATTACCTGTCCACATTTCTTTAAAGAACCTAAACAAATAAACAGTTTTCATTTAATTTACTTTAATAAAATATATTTAAAAAAAACAAAAAAACAATATAGAATTAATTTAGTCTCGGCTTATAGAATTTATTTAACCTCGGCAGAGAGAGTTTGATTTCTCACAGATGAATGGATTTTTTTGTGTACAGAAATCGTCGTCCAAGCCTTGTCCACATCCCATGACACAGTTCTGGTACCCCAAGGCGTTGTCTGGACGATTCAGGGGGAACAAAGCTCGCATCAACATTGGGTTAATCTGCTGATGGTCATCTGACCACAGAAATTGACCTTCCACTTGAATGTCATCCAGGCCAAGCCACGTGCAATTAGGGTTGATCAGGTTAGAAAAGAGGGCGAATTTTTCCAAGGTTTTGGCCACGTAAAGATGTGAGTCAAGACACTGGCAAGTGACCGTTGCTTGTGTATAGCTGACCGGAACTGGGATGTGGACAGCAAAAGTGGATGAGGATTTGTAGGAGAGTATGCTGAAATAAAATATGTCAATATTTCTTGACGTATGAATTCTGGCTACGATATCTCACACGCCGTAAAGGATCACGAAAGGATTTAGAATGAGTCCTTTACATACAAAATTGATCACACAAATCTTAGATTAAAAAAAACAAAACACTATAGATCTGTGGTTCTCAGCCGGATGTTGGCGACCCCTTTGGGGGGTCAAACGACCCTTACACTGTTGTCGCCTAAGACCACCGGAAAACATATTTATGAATTAGCAGCGAAAATAATGTTATGGTTGGGGTCACAAAACAACATGAGGAACTGTATTTAAGCGTCGCGGCATTAGGAAGGTTTAGAACCACTGCTCTAGACAATATTCACTTTTGTTCCTAGCAATGTCACTCAAAACATACTTTTGATTTATATCTTATTATCTTCTTCTTCTTCTATATCTTAAGGGCCCACGATCAATTTATTGATCATTCTGAAATTGTTTATTATTTAACAAAAAAATAAAGTTAAATATGTTTGTTTATTGTGAAACAATGTTTCATTACATATTTCTAAATGAATCCTTACTCAAAGAAATACGATGTTACATTTTAATCAGCCTAAACAAATAAGATGTTACAATATAATCAGCCTAATCAAATACAATGTTACATTTTAAATAGCCTAAACAAATAAGATGTTTCCTTTTTATCACCTCAACAAATAAGATGTCACATTATAATCAGCCTAAACAAATAAGATGTTACAATATAATAAGCCTAACAAAATAAGATGTTACATTATAATCAACCTAAACAAATAATATGCTATAATATAATAAGCCTAAACAATAAGATGTTACAATATAATCAGCCTAAAGAAATAATATGTTACAATAAAATTAACCTAAAGAAATAAAATGTTATAATTTACTCAGACAATTCTGTGTCTTTTTGTAAATTATAAGGGCAACAATATTCTTCAATAAATTTATTATTAAATTATACAATGTCATCAGCTGGAATGCTTTTATAGTATCTTGATTATAATCTTACCTGAATTGTGGGTAACTGTCACAGCTGTCTGTCACGTAGAGGTCTCCCTCTTTAGCACTAGGTGGCAGCTGGTTCGTACTCACACCAGATCCTGGTGTACATAGGTGTGTGATTTTATTGTATATGAAACTATGACATGTCTTTGGGTACCTGTGGAGATGTGACATAAATCTATGACATGTTTTGGGTACATGTGGTGAAATGACATATAACTAAGACATGTCTTTAGGTACCTGTGGAGATATGATTTTATTGTACATGAAGATATGGCATGTCTTTGGGTAGTTTTGGAGATGTGAAGTAAAACTATGACATAACTTTGGCTACCCGTGGAGCTGTGACGTAAAACTATGACATAACTTTGGCTACCCGTGGAGCTGTGACGTAAAACTGTGACATAACTTTGGCTACCCGTGGAGCTGTGACGTAAAACTGTGACATAACTTTGGCTACCCGTGGAGCTGTGACGTAAAACTATGACATAACTTTGGCTACCCGTGGAGCTGTGACGTAAAACTGTGACATAACTTTGGCTACCCGTGGTGTTGTGACATAAAACTATGACATCACTTAGTGGAAATGGAAAATATGAAGATGTGACATAAAATTATTACATGACTTTGAGAACATGTGAAGATGTGACATGATACTATGGCATGCCTTTGCCTACTTAAGATGGGACCTAAAGCTAGCACATGTCTGTGGCTACCTGTGGAGATGTTACTTACAACTATGGCAGGTATTTGGGTAGCTGTGGAGATGTGAATTATTGTAAATAAAACCATGACATGTCTCTGGTCTTTTGTATACATGTTGAGATGTGATTTATACGAAAAAACAACAACCAGGAATGTAAAGTTGGTGTTAATCTCAAGTATTTGATCTCGGATAAAAAAAGCAATTAAATATATCTCTTATATTTATTACGCTTCTGGTAGACGGCTTCCATTCTCTTAACAAGCTGGCTATTTCCTATGCAGCGAATTAGGTTCTGAGATTATTTTCGTAGCATTTGCAATATGCTTTGTATTTTGTGACGTATATTTGGGCATATGACATGGCGTTGTTAATGTGGTTTTAGCACGAGCAGCAGTGGTGGCGTAGCTAGTCACGTAGTTCTTTATTTAATATGAATCTTTGGTTTGTAAAATATTTAATAAAATGAATTATATTACATATTATATAAATGACCCGATGTTATAGTGATAATAATGGTAGAACATTATCTTGAGCAATATTTTACAATGAATGTAGTCACTGAGACCGCTCTCCATAATATTCCCGCCTTGTCAGTAATGAATGAACTGGATTAAGAGCCAACTTTACAGGAGCTCGAAAAAGCCATCGATTACCTTGCGGTTTGGAAGGCTCCAGTGATCGACGGCATCCCAGCGGAAGTCCTCAAAAATGAAAAACCTATCCTATCAGCCCTTACATGAGCTCCTTTGTCTGTGTTGGGAAACAGGTCACATTCCCCAGGACATGAGAGACGCCAACATTTTAACATTGTATTAAAAAAAGGGGACCGAAGTGACTGCAATAGCTCCCGAGGTATTTCTCTCCTTAGCTTAGTTGAAAATACTTTTGCCCATGTTGCCCTTAAACGATTGCAGAGCCTTGCGAACCGCATCTACCCAGAGTACCAGTGTGGCTTCATGAGTGGGCGCTCAACAATAGACATATTTTCGCTACGCCAAATGCAGGAGAAATGTCGCGAACAACATATGCCTCTTTATATTGCCTTCATAGACATGACAAGGCATTTGACTTGGTAAGTCGAAGAGGCCTTTTCAGTATCCTGCAAAGAATAGGTTGTCCCCACGACTGCTCACAATAATTCAGTCATTTCACAAAAACATGCACAGCACAGTAACTTTCAATGGCATGGTCTCTGCGTCATTTCCAGTTAGCAGCGGAGTAAAACAGGGTTGTGTACTGGCACCAACACTCTTTTCAATTTTCTTTTCGATGCTCCTTCAATTTGTTTTCAGTGACTGGGAAAATGGAGTGTACGTCCATACAAGATCTGATGGAAGATTGCTCGCTTTCGTGCAAAGACCAAAGTAAAAAAGGTGCTGATTCGTGAACTGCTGTTCGCTGACGATGCCGCCTTAACATCTCACACAGAAGAAGGTCTGCAGTGGCTGGTTAATCGTCTATCACATGCTTGTAAAGAGTTTGGACTTTCGATTAGTCTACAGAAAACTCATGTAATGATGTAAGAAGCACCATCCCGTCCAATCATATCTATTGAGGGTCATAATCTTTCGGTTGTTGATCATTTCACATACCTGGGATCCAATATTTCGAGTTCGCTCTCCGTTGATGAAGAGATAAATATCAGGATTGCAAAAGCAGCAGCAACTATGGCTAAACTGAATAAGCGGGTGTGAAATAATCTGAATCTAACTGATAAAACAAAAATAAGTGTCTATCAGGCATGTGTGCTTTGTACGCTCCTATATGGTAGCGAAAGGTGGACCACATATACCAGCCAGGAGCGGAAACTCAACAGCTTCCATCAAAGATGTCTACGTCGCATTTTGCGCATTCGTTGGCAGGACAGGGTGTTTAACGTGGAGGTTTTGGAACGTGCACACATGTATAGCATATTCTCCTTTCTAATCAAGAGACGCCTTCGCTGGTTAGGTCATGTACGGAGAATGGAGGAAGGACGTATCCCAAAGATTTTGCTGTATGGAGAGTTGGCAGAGGGGACAAGACATATTGGACGACCACGCCTGAGATTTATTGACGTTTGCAAACGAAGCATGAAGGAAGCCAATATTGAAACAAACGAATGGGAGTTCATTGCCGAACATCGCTGCAACTGGCGAACAGCGGTGTTTGAAGGAGTAATAAAGGCAGAAAATGCTCGAAACGAGGCCCTTGAATAAAAAAGAACAATTCGGAAATCAAGAATGTCCCGGGATTCAATATTCTCCGGCGAGAGATGCGGCCGTGATTGCTATTCTAGGATTGGCCTAGTGAGCCACTCGTCAAAGTGTAGAACTATAAGCTACTCCATCGTCTCACTAAGACGGAAGGATGCCATACAATAATGGTAGATCCTTTGAGATCATTTCTAAATGCTATTGCAAAAACTCATCACAATTCATAACTTTAAAAATGTAAGGATATTTACGTCTCTAACATCATTAAGTTTTGAGATATATTCATCTGCTATATATTATAGGCCTACCATTTCACGCCCCTAAGCTGCTACCCCCCCCTCCCCTCTAAACTTGACATTAAATTACACCGTCTAAATCAGGGGTCTCCAAACTACGCAGGCCGCATGCTAACGTGGGCGTTATGTTTTTACCGAACTAACATAGAGGCGCGCAGTAGTGCGTTATGTTTTCAAACCGATCATGACTTGGCAAAACCTTATTCCCTGATTTGTTTTTCTACTTCCGTTCACAGTCAATGAGATGATATAACGCCATCTAGTGGCAGAGCTTTGCCCGCCGTGTTGCAGAAATGGGTGAAAACATGGTGACTCAAATAGAGAAAAATGCAAGCAAGTTTCGCCAATCTTTATTTGCAATGGATGAGTCGCTGGATAGCTGTTCCACCTCTCAACTGCTTGTGTTCGTTAGAGGTGTGGATGAAGACATGAACATAACACAAGAGTTGGCTTCCCTGCATAACATGTACGACACTCTTACCGGAGAGGATATATTCAATGAGTTGAAAAAAACATTTGCTGATTATGACTTGGACTGGACTAACCTCAGTTGCCTGACTGTTGATGGAGGAAAGAACATGAGTGGCAAAAAGAAAGGCTTGGTTGGACAAGTGAAGCAGATGTGTAATGAGAAAAAAATTCTGCAACCAAGGTTCCTGCAATGCATTATTCAGCAGAAAGTTTTGTGTGAAAAATATGTGGACATTAGCAGTGTACTGAATCTTGTGGTAAAGAGGGTTAATTTAATAATATCACATGGGCTCAACCATAGACAGTTAAGAGACCTGTTGAAAGATACAGACACAATATCGCAATATTTACCATATTACACAGCCATAAGATGGCTAATTTGTGAGAAAGTTCTGAGCAGAGTATTTAAGTTAAGAAAGGAAATAGGTGACTTCCTAGAAAGTAAAGGCAAGCCACAGCCATTACTGTCTGATGAAGAGTGGGTATTGAAATTGGTCTTTGCTGTAGACATAACTAGTCATTTAAATTTTCTGAACCTAAAACTACAAGGAGAGGATAATCTAGTGTGTGATCTATACACCCACCTAAAGGCCTTCAGATTCAAATTCGTCTTGTTATTTGGAAAAAGTACAGGCCAACAACTTGACCCACTTTCAGCCTGGACGGTATTCATGACTGAAGCAACAGCGGAGTTCCCCACGTCATTTGAATACGAGATCATCAAAGACCAACCTTTCCCCAGCTACAGTGTCTGCAGAATTCTGACTTAAATTTAGAGGCAGTAAAAGTGAGACTTTTTCAAAACTCATTTGAAGCAGATGTGGCCAGTCGCCCAGATGAACTGCACCTGGAGGTCATTCAGTTGCAAGCAAATTAACTCCTTAGGGACAAGTTAAGAGGAGGACCAGTTGGTTTTTAACTAGTTTTCGACCAAGGAAGACCTTCCTAATTTCAAAACATTTAAATCAATGTACCTTTCAAACTATGGAACAACATGCCTGTGTGAACAAACATTTTCAAGAACAAAGTACGTGAAGAACAATTTGAGAACACATTTGTCCGATGACAATCTCAGGTCACTGTTGATGTTGGCAGTGGCATAGCTAGGGTTGGTGTCACCCGGTGCGGTAAACTCGTGGTGTCACCCCCCCCCCCCCCCCCCAATTTACATGATGGTTTTCTTCTTGGTAAAATAAGTCCACAATGTAACAATAACAAGAACAAACAAATCGAAGGTCATGGGGTTAATATATTTAAAAATGTTTAGTTAAAGTTGTATTTACATTAACTTTACTTTATTTAAAATGTTCCTTTCCTTGTCTTCAAAGATGCAAATCTGTCAATCACTTGATCAAAATCAATGTTGTTCACTGTATCAATTTCAATTGATAGCAGAGCCGCGTCAGAAAATCTTGACTGTCACATGGTGGATCATAAATATTTCTTGATAAGCCTTAGTTTTGAAAAACTCCGCTCACATGAAGCCACATACACACATATCGTAAGAAAAAATTAAAGGCTTAGCGAGAGTATTGGAAGAGATTCTAGAAAGTCCCATTCAACTTTGAATTTCAAAACATCAAATACTGACCAGTCCATGACTTTGAGAAATCAGCTGCTCTTAGATGTCTTCTAAGATTTCTTTTGAACGTCCATCCTCTGACCACTCCTCATTGAAAGAAGTTAATTTTGGAACAGACACCAATAAATCTTCTTCACTTGCTGATATTAGACGCTTGGGTTGAACAGACCCAAACATATGTGGCACTTCCTTGATCACTGATGATCTGATGTGGAGTTCAGAATGAAAGCGATCTATACACTCAAGCAACCCCCTACTGTTTTCTTCTCCCAGAAAGAGTCCGGCATCTATTAATTAATAGTTCTCCTGCCATTCTCTTCTTAAACCCTAATCTTCTCTCTACCGAAATTCCATATTGGTCTGAAAGTGCCTTTTCGATAGCATGCTCCACCAAGTAACGACGCTTCTCGTGCAGAAACAATCTTAAGGCCTTTAGGTTTGTCAACATTTGCCAAGAGTAAAGCCTTTGGTCTGCAGATACTGCTGTGTAAGATTAACTTCCTAAAGTAGATCAGCCCAAAGTTAAAGGTAGCAGATAAACGTGAAATCACAGACAACATGTAAAGGACCTTAACCACTTGTATACACATTTTTTACAAGGTGATGACCTAGAGCTTTAATCGCCTCCCAACATTCATCAAACTCATCTTTCACAGTTTTAATAGCAGCATGATGAGCACTCCAACACGTTGTTGACTGTCTTTTCACCGACATTTCAAAGTGTTCAATTAGAACATTCCCTCGATGAGTGGATGCAGCGAAGAAGGAATGTATTTTTTCAAGAGTACCGAATAATGTAATACATGAAGCATTTTCTGCAAAAGAGTGTTGACCACACAAGTGAATGGCCCACACATTCATTAGAAATTTCTTTCTTATTATTTCTTTTCCGAATGGCTTGAACATCTCCATGGATTCCATACATTAGGGCAGCATTATCGTAACCCTGAGCTCTGAACATCATTATGTTTAGTCCATCATGCTTTAGTTTGTAAGAATGTCAGAACTGAGGTCATCAGCTTTTTTCATCTTAACGGGAAAATGCAATAAACACTCATCTCACTTCGACTTTCCCATTTTGGATTATCACATATCTGATCCCTACAAACATCTGGTCACTGTGTGATATATCAGGTGTACTTTCAAAAATAATTCCAAAATACCTCGCAGGGCTTTATATCTATGATAAGAAACTCCTTCACATGATTTGCAAGGACACGTATATATTCATTTTGGGTTTCAGGTGAAAGGTAAGATACCTTTTGGGTTTCGATAAATAATATTATATAATTCTTCAAAAAACTTTTCTTTATTTAAATAAAAAAGAATTAATCATTAAAAGATTGAAAAGTGTGTAAAATAATATATTTTTAAACCTATAAATGGGTAAAATTCATTTTCAATGTTTTTAATTGTTACCGATTTTTATACTTACAACCGCCCGACCACACTTATTTGGTATCAATGGAAAGCCATATTTCTCAGAGTTTAGATAAATATAGCCTCATGTCACTTAAGGAAGTTACCGAACACTTTAAACGGCATGGAATCATGACTGTGTTTTTCTGAGCTAAACATAGGGTCATCACATTTCTGACGCATCAACCTTGAACTTTTAATAAAGCACGCATTTGGATTGGTTACATTTGTGAACAATGCATGTGTGATCGGTTATCCTTTCATGAATCTCGGTTAGACCGAGAACTGTGTGCTAGGTAAATATGCAATTTTTCAATCGGGTGTCACCCCTAAAACGGTGTCACCCGGTGCGGTCTGCACCCCCCCCCCCCCCCCCCCCAAACGGGGTCCCCCCGGGCGGGCTGCCCCCCCCCCCCCCCCCGCACTTGCCTCGCTACGCCACTGGATGTTTGGGACATCAAATCTAAATCCAGAAATGTCTGCTAATCACTGCTATTTTGACATCCAGGAAACAATTTCAACATTCTCACTAATACAGGCGTTCATGTGTCGTGTATCAATGTGTTATTAAATAATAACTGAAGAAAATAAAATGAAATAAATAATTAACAAAAACAGCCATTTTTTTTTATATGGACCGAGAGTGCGTAGTCGGCCCCCGAACTGCTGTTTGATAGTTAATAATAATAATAATAATAATAAGTGGTCTTATATAGCGCGGTACCCCGGCCTAGGGCCATCGGGCTGAAAAGTTTGGAGACCCCTGGTCTAAATGATCACTAATTATATCACTTTTGTCACTAAAGAATAAATTGAGGAAAAAATTACTATGTTAGAGAAATACTTCAGATTTACCCCCTTTTCGTTCCCTTGAATTACAACTTTTTTTCTCTAAAATTGTTTTAAAAACTTACCTTAAATTTACACCAAAAAACTCTATATATGATACAAAGATATCTTCAGCAAAAATGTAAACACATTTTTAAAAAAATAAAAATTATATATTATAAGAAAATCGTTAAACAAAGAATTCTTTTATCTAAAGAAGAATCGCGTAACACTTTTTCACGTCTATAGCAGACTTGAGGGTTGTTTAATTAAAAAAAAATGAAATGGTTAATCTCATTAAATACACATCTATTTACTTTTTGCAAAGTAAAAACAAAAATATATTTTATTTTTTTGAAAGTAAATATTAACCATCTCTATTTTTCAAAATTAATTTTTCAAGTGTGTAAAATGATTGGAATTTGATATTCATGGATATACTTATATAAATTTACTCAAGATTTGTTAACGCCATTGATTTTCTTAATTGGTAAACATAATATGAATATTTGTAAAAAGAGAATGTAGCATCCCTTTTTTGACATATTTAATACCATAGGAGTTAACTATGTTGTCATTCACGTAAAAATGTACACATGTTAATTCTTACCACCGACATGTATTTACTCCAAAAAATTAATTTTGTATCATAATCATTCCTTTATTTCAAGACGTATCTTGTGCTGCCTTGAGCAAAACGAAAATACACATATTTAAAAAAAAAGAATGTAATTTCTTTTTTTTTCTCAAATGTAATACCATAGGATTTAAATATATTGTCATCCACGTAAAAAAGTACACATCCTATTTCCTACCTACGAAATGTACGTACCCAAGAAGGTTAATTATTTATAAAATTCATTCCTTTATTTTGAGACGTATCTTGTGCTGCCTGGGGCAAAGTAACCAACTCTCCCCCACCCAGATTTAAATAAATTTAGAACAATCTTCCACGGGATTGCAGTCCCTTCCATACCAAAACTAAAATAATTTGCACTTCGTATGGTTTGTACTTTTTTGTTTTAATTATAAGTGGAATAGTTAATGCTATTTGGCTATGGAGTTACGCTACACTGTTAGATTTAAACCGCATTTTCCTATTAGAATTAGATTTAAAGGTTAATTTTTATTAGGTTATAATTTTAATAAAGGTATATTTTTGGAGAAAAAAATACAAACCTTTTTAAATGTTAACATATACACAGCTGAAATCAGAGGTGAATGAGGGGGGGGGGGTGCAGGGGGGACATATGTCTCTGGGCGCCAGCTAGTTAGGGGCGCCAAAATGTGCTTTGATATTATTTTATCGTGTTAACATATACACAGCTGAAATCAGAGGTGAATGAGGGGGGGGGGTGCAGGGGGGACATATGTCTCTGGGCGCCAGCTAGTTAGGGGCGCCAAAATGTGCTTTGATATTATTTTATCGATGAAAATAATGGGTTGGAGAGTTGAACAATAAAAGGGGGCGCTTTAAAATGAATCTTGTCCCTGGGCGCAAATCTTGTTCCCGGGCGCAAATCTTGTTTCCGGGCGCCAAATACTCTCGCTACGCCTCTGGCTGAAATGTGTGTGTGTGTGTGTGTTTTATAACAATTTAAAAAGTAATCAATTGTATTTATTAATTTTACTTTTAAAAAGGGAAAATACATTATCAGTTGTGTCACGTATGGTTATTAAATTGAAAGAAACCCAAGAGTTTCGGAGAAATAGCCTATTCATACTATGACGTCAATTGCGTGATTATTTTGAAAAAAATAATTTAAATTTTTATTTCGCAATATTAACAACGCAATAAAAGACGCACTAAAACGACTGATGCTTGGGTTTTCGCGATAAATGTGATTGCGGTGTAATTCTTTGATCATGATTTTTTTTTTTTTTTTCAAAACTTTTCAACACATATAAAATGCCTAAAATAGTTCGTGACGTATCATCGAGCGAAGGGTTGTAGCAAATATTGGGATTCTTTAACGTGCGTCACTTGAGTTTTCTTTGATCATTATTTTTTTTTTTTTTTCAAAACTTTTCAACACATATAAAATGCCTAAAATAGTTCGTGACGTATCATCGAGCGAAGGGTTGTAGCAAATATTGGGATTCTTTAACGTGCGTCACTTGAGTTCATGTTTTCTCAAGTAACGTTAGTAAAGGGGAAGTTAACCCATTGCTGTCTCCATTGTTTGGCAAGTTAGAGATGGGTAACGCGAAGAGATAGCACAGTGACGTTATTTGCGTGTATTGTTAAGTTGCTGTTATGGAAATTTTTTCATTATTTTTTAACATTTTATTATTGATTTTAGCAAACGTGAGTTATTTTATTTCTATACGGCAATCATCTTGATTGCCACGACCCTTGAAAGCGTCAAACCGTCAAAGTTAACGGGTCAAGGCCACCAAGATAGCGGCCATGGTAAAAAACGCGGTTCTATCTCTTCACATTGACCCTAGTATTTGATTCGTCTAAATACTGCATTAATTTAGTCGAGCAACTTCGAATATTTTCTGGCAACGTTTGTCAGTGGTACTCTACAACACTGTCTGTCAAAGAATACCCAGGTACTCTATACTACTGTCTATCAATGAATACTTAGTTATTCTACAAAACTGTCAATCAGCGAATACCCAGGTACTCTACAACGCTGTCTATCAACGAATAACCCCAGGTACTCTCTAACACTGTCTATCAACGAATACCAATGTACTCTAGAACACTGTCTACCATTGAATACTCAGGTTTCCTACAACGCTGTCTATCATCGAATACCCAAGTACTCTACAACACTGTCTATTAACGAATACCCAGGTTTTCTACAACGCTGTCTATCACCGAATACCCCCCAGGTACTCTAGAAGACTGTCTTTCAAAGAATATCAATGTACTCTACAACACTGTCTATCAACAGATACCCAGGTACTCTACAACACTGTCTATCAAAAAATACACATGCACACTACAATACTCTAATCAACGAAGACCCAGGCACTCTACAACACTGTCTATCAAAGAATACCCAGGCATACCGAACATTGGAACACAAACACTTTATAAATCACTTGGGTTCTTCTTTATTACGTGTATCTGTCACAAAGATTCCCCTGGTTACAGTATCTCCTTATAACTGTAGTATAGACCAAAACGTGCCAAAGTGTCCTCGTTTTATAGCCATTTTAATTGTTTCTATAGTATAGTAGTTACTATCCTAGTGTCTCATTTTTTATTTTACTTAGTTTACATGTTTTTAATAATTGTAAAGCGCTTAGAGCTTTAAGGTAAGCGCTATATAAAAATGTCTAAATAAATAAATAAATAAATTACAACACAGTCTATCCCAGAACACAGAAGCTATCACTCAGAAACTTCTCAAGTCTATTCCAATCTCACTATCTCAAGCCTTATATCCACAAACTTATTTATTATTCTATTCCTGTTATCCAATGATCATTCAGACACGACAAGAACACTCATGGCACAAATGATGGACCCAAACAACGTTCATACTAGGATCAGTGGTTCTCATATCATTGACAATCATATAGACCCTGTTGAAACAATGCTCTGAAGAACTGAAATGTAAAATTGAATATTGTAATAATAATAATAAAGTTTATTTTAAAAAAAAATCACGCTTCATTCCCAAAAGCTCGAAGCGCGGTACAGAGCCAACCATATTAAAAGAGAAATGAAACAATCTATGGTGTTAAGGCGATGGTGTTAAGGCGATGGTGTTAGTGCGATGGTGTTAGGGCGATGGTGTTAGTGCGATGGTGTTAGGGTGATGGTGTTAGTGCGATGGTGTTAGTGCGATGGTGTTAGGGCGATGGTGTTAGTGCGATGGTGTTAGGGTGAAGGTGTTAGGGCGATGGTGTTAGGGCGATGGTATTAGTTCGATGATGTTAGGGCGATGGTGTTAGGGCGATGGTGTTAGGGCGATGGTGTTAGGGTGATGGTGTTATGGTGATGGTGTTAGGGTGATGGTGTTAGGGCGATGGTGTTAGGGTGATGGAAATATGGTGATGGTGTTAGGGCGATGGTGTTAGGGCGATGGTGTTAGGGTGATGGTGTTAGGGTGATGGTGTTGGTGCGATGGTATTAGGGCGATTGTTTTACGGCGATTGTGTTAGGGCGAGGTGTTGGGGCGATGGTGTTGGGATGATGTGTTGGGGCGATGGTGTTGGGATGATGTGTTAGAGACGATGATTTTGAGTAATGGTGTCGGGGGATGGTGTTGGAGCGATGGTGTTGCGGGTGAATAAATGGTAACCTTAAAATCTTTAAAAAATCCTCAAAAGACAACGTATTTGTTCACGTATTTGTTCATGAATGTCATCGTGGGTGTTAGTATTAGTCAAGTTTTATAATGGTTTTGGCAAAAAAATTACCTCTCTTTGCAGTGGGAAACAGGGCAAACTTCATTAGTCAGAAAATACTCAAAAGTAAAAAAATTACAAGAGAAACAAAGAAAACTATTTATAAAACTGTGATCAGACCAGTTGTAACATATGCAAGTGAAACGTGGACCCTAACAAAAAGAGCAGAAAACTTATTAAACTCATGGGAGAGGAAAGTTCTCAGGAAAATATATGGGCAACAAAGGATGAATATGGATGGATAATACGAACCAGCCATGAATTATACAGTCTATATCAGGATCCCACGATAGTAGCAGAAATAAAAAAGGCAGGCTACGCTGGGCAGGACACCTAGAGAGAATGCCAAATGACAGAAGAACGAAGAGTGGGCATCACCAATACCCCAGAGGAAAAGGCTCAAAGGCAGACCTAGGCTTAGGTGGATAGATGATGTGGAAAAAGATCTACAGCAGCTGAAAGTCCAGGCATGGAAAAGAAAGGCATCAGTCAGGTCTGAGTGGAAGGAAGTGGTGAGGCGGGCCAAAGCCCTACATGGGCTGTAGCGCCACAGGGATGGATGTATAATGGTTATGGCAAAAAAAATTACCTCTCTTTGCAACTGACTGCACAACTTATTTGTGACGACTGGGTCCAGCTTGGTCCTAACCTCACAGGTCCACAAGTCGTAGCCAGTTTTTTCTTAAATAAATTTGCACCAAAACTTGTTGAGGCTTGTCCATGCACATACTTGAACCGTTCAAAAACTTAAATAAATAAAATATAATGAACTAGCTTGACATGTGGAAGTGATCCACTACACGTCCGATTTTTTATGGAACAAGTAAAATGGAATATAATAGCAATATTTCATTAAATCAATGGACCAAACCCTAAATCCATTGTTGTGTTCTATCAATGTAAAGACTCATAGGTTCATTTAAATACTGTACATCCATCAGGACATTATATCTCATCGTATTATCCTCAACAACAGGCCCTAAGATATAAAACAGGAGACTTCTACTCACTGAACATGACCAAGAGTGGTGTTATCAAGAACATGCTGGCTCAAAAGTTTGCTGGCAAAATACATTTAATGACAACCTTCAAGTTTACTAGGCCCAAAGTTCTTCACTGAAATAGTTTTTTTTCTTTTAACATAGTTCTTCTGATTATCTTGGTATCCATGCAAATAGTTGATTTAGTCATTTTTATCAACAGGCAATAATTTTCCTTTCATTATCAATTTCAAAAGGGATTTCTCTTTGAATCAAAGCATTTTGTACTAAGCAACGACCTTTACTTTCCATGGCAGTGCTTCTCCAAATTTTCACTGTTGGGGACATACATTTTAAATGCACATCATTTCCCGACACAGTAAGCCAGTTTCGTGAGTCTAGCAACACAGTAAGTCAATTTCACTAGTATACCGACACAGTAATTCAGTGTCATTAGTATAGCGACACAATAAGTTATTTTCACTAGAATAGCGACACAATAAGACAGTTTCACCAGTACTAGTATAACGACACAATATATATTTGTTTCATCAGTATACAAAAAGTTAGCTGTTAGCTAAAGAAGGCTTTATGCCGAAAGTCCTTATTTTTTTGTCCTGTTTTCTAATTCAAGCTTCCAAATACCTCGTTTTGCTATTTCATTCATTTACTAGGCATGAATGCAGTCCTTTAATTTATATTTTCTTGAGTTTCCTATAGTACTTTTAGCTCCTGCTTTAAGTTTCCTATAGTACTTTTAGCTCCTGCTTTAAGTTTCCTATAGTACTTTTAGCTCCTGCTTTAAGTTTCCTATAGTACTTTTAGCTACTGCTTTAAGTTTCCTATAGTACTTTTAGCTACTGCTTTAAGTTTCCTATATTACTTTTAGTTACTGCTATAATTTTTTTAAAGTTCTTATAGTTACTTCCTTAAATTTCCTATAGTACTTCTAGCTACTGCCATATTTTTCTATAGTACTTCTAGTTACTGTTATAATTTTCTTTAAGTACGGGGCTGCACAACCTCTACCATCACAAAGGACCCGGGGTGGCACAACCTCTACCATCACAAAGGACCCGGGGTGGCACAACCCGGACCGTCACAAAGGACCCGGGGTGGCACAACCCGAACCATCACACAGGACCCGGGGTGGCACAACCTCTACCATCACAAAGGACCCGGGGTGGCACAACCTCTACCTGACCGTCACAAAGGACCCGGGGTGGTACAACCCGAACCGTCACAAAGGACCCGGGGTGGTACAACCTCTACCATCACAAAGGACCCGGGGTGGCACAACCTCTACCATCACAAAGGACCCGGGGTGGCACAACCTCTACCATCACAAAGGACCCGGGGTGGTACAACCCCGACCGTCACAAAGGACCCGGGGTGCCACAACCTCTACCATCACAAAGGACCCGGGGTGGTACAACCCGGACCGTCACAAAGGACCCGGGGTGGCACAACCTCTACCATCACAAAGGACCCGGGGTGGCACAACCTCTACCATCACAAAGGACCCGGGGTGGCACAACCTCTACCATCACAAAGGACCCGGGGTGGCACAACCTCTACCGTCACAAAGGACCCGGGGTGGTACAACCCGGACCGTCACAAAGAAACCGGGCGGCGCAATCTCAATTGTTACCGATAGTACGGTAAATCCTGTTCTATGTTAACCTACAACACTGCACGCTACGCTCTAACCTATTGCATCCCTTTAAATTTAGGTTAAGTTTGATATGATAACAAATCTGTATTGGGATTTCCTACACCTGCAAATGATACTTTAAATAGATTTCCTATGAAAACGATGAGAAGAAAACCCAACTGCAGTACAGAGGCAAAGGTTTGCGACAACTGCCAGAACATAGTCAGAGAGCAAGATTCAAGTTCTTCTTCACGATCTGTATTGTAGTTGCCATCATATCGTTTATGTACAGAGTCAAAGTTCAGACTTGTAATAAAGGTGAATGCTAATTGTTCTTTTATCTAATAATCTTTTAAATAGTTAAACTGCTACAATTTAAAGCAACCTCTAAAACAGTCATTGTTTTTCGCATTAATCCTTTATAAAGTGTAATATCGAGCAATTTGTGTGTGTGTGTGTGTGGGGGGGGGGGGGGACAAAACATGCATGCAAGTAGCGCACTTTATAAGAATCCCAACTAATGCTCCCCCTCCCCAAGGCTCGCATGTGCCCATTATTTTCACACCCCTGAACTCTATTAATATTCTAATGTCCCACCACCCACTTTTACACCCCAGATTTATTTCACCAACTATTTCAGAAAAACAAAAGAAAAAAAAATAACGCACCAAACGCACTTGGGATATTTTTTGGGGAAATAATCTTATTTAGCGCAGTTATAGGGAATTTAATTTCTTGAACTGAGTTTCATCCTATTTCCCTCATCTTCCCATATGGGAAAACAGGAGAAATTCCTGGGAAAACAGGAACAATTGATTTTCTTTGGTTTGGGGAGGGGAGGAAAATGTGACGTAANACGCCTCATCTCTCCCTACTGACGCCTCATCTCTCCCTACGAACGCCTCGTCTCTCTACAGACGCCTTATCTCTCCCTACGAACGCCTCATCTCTCCCTACGAACGCCTCATCTCTCCCTACGAACGCCTTATCTCTCCCTACAAACGCCTTATCTCTCCCTACGGACGCCTCATCTCTCCCTACGAACGCCTTATCTCTCCCTACGGACGCCTCATCTCTCCCTACGGACGCCTCATCTCTCCCTACGAACGCCTTATCTCTCTCTACGAACGCCTTATCTCTCCCTACAGTGACCACAGATGTTAAAACTCACATTTACTATGTAGAGCATTTTCAACGAGGAGCACTCCACCGATCATTGCATCCATTGATCATGACCATTCATCGATCAAGCCATCCATCGATCACGCCATCCATCGATTGCCATTCTTCGATCAAGCCATCCATCGATCACGCCATCCATCGATCATGCCCTCACTTTATCATGCCATCTAGGCAGGATTCACCCTTTGTTCATTCTCAGCAACCTTGTTTCTTGGCACTACAAACTTTATCAATTAAGTTTGGCAACTTTTGCAGGAACATTTTGATAACCCATGTTAGCTGTTAATAGACCAAGTTAGTTGTGAATACCACATGTCATCTGTGAATTACCCATGTCATCTGTGAATTACCCATGTCATCTGCGGGGTTTCTTTCAGCTATATCTCCGTGGGGCGGGGGCACAATAATAAATCAATTGGCTCTGCTGGCACTACCTCCCCCCACGCCCCCAGCAAAGGTCAAACAAGACGGGTCAAACAAGACGCAGGCTATTTATAGATACGCCAGAGTGTGGTTCAATGATGAGTTCACTAGCGCGCAAAATATAATTCCCGATAACTACGCTATATATAAATTTGATATGATAACAAATCTGTACTGGGATTTCCTACACCTGCAAATGATACTTTAAATAGATTTCCTATGAAAACTTTTAGTAACGCAATTGCGTTTGGTGCGTAATATTTTCTTTTCGGGAATGAAATCGTCTCAATTTAAGTGTTGTGTAAAAAATATTCGGTTTAAAAGTGGTTGTGACATGAGAATATTAATATAGTTCACAGGCGTGAAATAAAAAGTGTGCAGTGACGTATCATGGGGGGAAGGGGTATAGCAAATATTGGGATTCTTTTAAATGTGCGTTACTTGAGTTCATGTTTTGTCAGGTAACTTTACTAGATGTGTAGATATTGTTATTAAATGTTTGATATTTACATGTATACTCTCGCGTAAATTAATAACATGCTGCAACCACATGGCCCGAGCCTCCAAACATTACAACTACCCGTCATCGACATTCTTCCGTTGTCTCATTCATCGCCCTACTTCGACGCTCATGCTGAACAGTCTCTCGCTACGGAACACTGCAACAAACTCAACACAGAACAAAAACACGCTGTTGACACTGTTTTATACGCTGCATCAAGCCATTCCCATCCGCAACAAACAAGCTTCTTCTTAGATGGTCCAGCAGGAACAGGCAAAACGTTCGTCTATAAAACCCTAAGTCATACCATCAGATGTAGGGGATACATTCCTATAACCGTGGCATCGACAGGAATAGATGCAACAATGTTACCAGGTGGACGCACTGCACATTCCGTTTTTAAAATACTCTTGAGGCTGACCACGACTTCCACATGCAACATCAAACCTACGTCACTCCACGCTCAACATCTTCTCAAATTCAAAGTGATAATATGGGACGAGGCGCCAATGACACAGGCAGTTGACAGGTTATTACGTTACCTCACGGGTGACACGCAGCCATTTGGAGGCAAAACAATGCTATTGGGTGTGGATTCCCGACAAATCCTCCCCATCATTATGCGTGGCTCCCGAGCATTTACTGTCACCAGTTGCATTAACAAACATCCTTTGTGGCGTAACATGCATGTCCTTACACTCACCACAAATATGAGAGCTCTTCCTCACAAACAAGATTTCGCCAAATGGCTCCTCGCTGTAGGAGACGGAAAAAATGGAACATTTGTTAAATTACTTTCATATTGTTTTCCTGTTAATTCTAATCCCGTTTAACAACTATATGACGACATCGACTTCTCCACTGTCACTCCGGAACAACTTAGTACGTGAGCTATATTAAGCGTCAACAACGAAGAATGCCTACATCTTAATGAAGAAGTCTTGAAACTGATCCCTACTGACGAGGTAACTTTCACCAGTGTTGACTCTATCGACACAGACGATCCCGCAAATCAACTGTCAATTCCCGAAGAATTTCTTAACAGTCTTACTCCCACTGGCATGCCTCCGCATCAACTCAAAATTAAAATTTGTTCAGCTGTCGTGCTTCTCAGAAACCTCATGCCAGCAAGAGTTCTCTGTAATGGCACTAGACTGACTGTCACCAACATTCACCGCAATGTGCTAGAGTGCCGAACTATTGCAGCTGCTACCGCAAAAGCTGTCCTTATTTCCCGGATTTCCCTCACAACATCAGATTCAAATTTACATTTTACTTTTACACGGCGACAAGTTCCTCTTAGATCATCCTTTGCAATGA